TGCTTTTTATTCCTTTTTTCTTTTTTATTGCAAAAAAGAAAGAAAGAAAAGGAAAAATCGCTTTTTATGTTTTAGGAGCGGGAGAGTCTGGGAAGAGTACCATCGTCAAACAGATGAGGATATTGCACGTGGATGGTTTCAGCGAAGCGTAAGTTTCGTTGCTCCATTATAGCTTTGTTTTTAAGCCAATCTAATATTCGATATTATTCGTACAATACACATATGAATGCAGTCGATATAACACGTTAACGATGACTGATATATAACCTCTAGTCCTTTTTTTCTTCTCATTAATGTGCGTTTGTAAATGATTTAACTCGCGACTAATTCGATCCATCGCGTGATTGCAATATCAACACGTGGCTTCAGTAAATTAGCCTTTTTTTTTTAACTTTCTTTTATATTTAATATTTTAATGTTTGCTCTATTTTCTTGTTATTAGCGTAACTCTTATATTAGCGTAATTAAATTCTTATTAAATTGTAATTCTTTTATATAATCTTTCTATAAGTACAATATATAGTTTTTCAATACTTTTTCTTTGTTTTTCGCTGATCGATCCATTTTCACATCCAGCTGTTCATGTTGGAAAGCATGCGGACGAATCAAAAATAAAGTCGCGAAACGATGCAGGCCAGACAGAAACAAATCGTTATCGTATAAAGAATGTCGGTATACGTGGAAAATCAGAAACAACTAGATAGAATGAAAACGACGTGCAAACAGACTGGCTCGGCCCGATTCGTGTGTGTCGTAAATTCTGTCTGCCTCCGGCTCTGATAACGAACCCGAACGCGCGCCTTATTACTTATTACGTTTTGCGGTGATTTCTTTTTCATTAGCTTATTTTTTATTTTTCATTCGTTTATCCCTTTTCTTTTTCTTTTCGTGTTTCTTTCATCAAAATTGTTCGCGCATTATCAAATATTCGCATACGAACAACTGGATTTGCTTCAATATGAAATCGCGGGAAAGTGTTTCCATCGTCGAATTTCACAGGCTGTTTTTTGCTAGCAACGCGATTCTAAGAAGCATTACGTGTTCAACGCGCTTGATGCAGATTTCGCTTGTTTACTATGGAAACATACCGTACAACCTCGCGTATTTTTAGTCTTTTTTTCTCTTCTTCCTTTTACTTTCCTACCCTCTGGCATTTTTGCATATAACATACGTACAAATTCTTGATTGTCTGTCTTCTCTCGATCACACGATGTACACGATAACAATCTTAGGAATTTTAATTGGTTTCAATTAAGCAAATAGAATTACATAAATATATTTACATTTGTAGTAGAAATTTTTGGAACACGGTAAATGGGAACAGCAAAACGAAGCTTTTAACGTATAATCCTAGCGGTAAAATCGTTGATGTAGGCGGTCGTTCGATTATTTTTAGCATTCTTATATTCGAATAACGCTTGTAATAGGCCGCGAATCTTTTTAATCCGCGGTCACATAAATTCGAAATATTAAAAATTGAGAGATCGTTCAAAGAAGTCGAAAAAAGAGGGAAAAAATAGAAAAGTAGAAAAAAAACGAGTTTTTTTGAATAGAAAAAATTTTAATTGCGGCAATAACATTTTGTGTATTGTAAACAACTTGAATAATAATTCGATAAAAATATGAACCTGATTAAATTGTCGTCATTTTATAATGTATCTGTATATATGACATATATACATGATATACACAAAAATTTCAAATGAATGACGACAGGTATTACCATAAAACGAACAAGGCCCACATGAAAATCCATTGTTTTCTATAGTTTCGTCAGCAAAGAATAGCGTATCGATCGTTGATATTTAGATCCAACGTGAAATTTCCAATATGTCTCCAAATTGATAAAATCGTTATTATTATTATTAAAACTGGCGTGATGCCGTGTGATCTAAAATTACCGAATGACTCCGAAATTAATAATGAAAATACATATGTATAATATATCGTTCGATGTTGTTTCGATATAATCGAAATAATAATAAATTGTCATCTTGAGTTATCGGTTTCTTTTTTTTTTCGCACGACATTAAAATGTATTTATCGATACAGCGAGATCGAGATCGGAGGATGAAGTACATCGTTTGTTTCTCACGTTTTTCTGTGCAGGGAAAAGCGGCAAAAAATCGAGGACATCAAAAAGAACATCAGAGACGCGATACTGGTAAGAATTATTCCTTTTTCGATATTTGTTTACGCTATTCAATTTCATATTTCGCGCGGCATCCAACACTCGTTCAAGATTATGTCTACTGTTTATTTTTATTCCACTGTGTGGATCTTATAATCATCATTCTTCGGGATATGCATAAAGCGTAAGATAAAATAACTTGTGTAATGTGTTGTATGCTCTATATTATTTTTTCGTTTCTCTAAGATAATTATCCGTAACAAGTGGCAGATCTTATTATGATATCGATATTGGATAACACTATTACTGGTAGATCCCGTAAATATTCGATTATATTCAGTATATTTTATGAAAAATTGTACCTCTATTAGTAAAAAAAAAAAGCAACTCGATATCATTTTGTAAAACATAATTATATTTTTTAATAACTCTTAGTCTTATAATGTAGATGTGTCCTCGATTAACGATGCGACACACTTGCCTTTTCCGAAAATATCCTTTCGAAGTAATATTCGCGAAACACGTTGAATAACGCGGTATATTCTGGGAATTCAGTGATTTATAGCTAAATCGATACTAAAGCGTTGATGTTTTCTATGCCGATGGTATTACAGCGAAGGAACGAGAATCGCCACGGAATCGAACGAATTTTTTTTTTTTTTAACTTCGATAAAAATTTTCTTCCGTGTGATTTCTGAGTCAAAGTTGCGGTATATACGCGAGGTGCGTGTAAACGCGCCCGTTTCGACGGGCGTCCCGTCATTAACGTTACGTGATGCGCCCGTAAATTCGTAATGGTTTAACGCGCCGTGTCGAGGAGAGCAGCGTGCTGTCATCAATTTGTCGTTCGAGGCCGTGTTTAGATACGCGTATCGTCTGTAACCTTGCAATCGCTTCCGTATGTCGGGTGAATGTAATAGACAAGCCTGCCCCGTGGCACTTAAGGATTATGAATGACATATTATCTGTGTAAAGATAGATACGGGCGAAATGGTAATTTCGCATTAAACTCCTGCGAAGAATGCACTTTCTTTTTTTTATGTTCGCGATAACGTAATCGTCGGTAAATCGTAACTATACGCTTTATCGATACGCGTGGAAAGTGTTGCTCTTTCTTTTTTTTTTCTTTTTTTTTTTTTTTTTTTTTTTTTTTTTTTCTTTCTTCTTCCCCCTCTTTTCATCGGATATGCGTTCCTTTTCAGACGATAACCGGCGCGATGAGCACGTTGACGCCACCCGTTGCTTTGGAGGATCCGGCGAATCAGAGCAAAGTCGACTATATCCAGGAAGTCTCAAACTCCCCGGACTTCGATTATCCCCCGGTGAGTCACAGTCACAGTTATTTGTTCCACGTGCTTTTATATGTGTATCTTCTTAATGTAATATAATGAAAAATGCGTTACGGTCTCCGCAAGTGGTTCACTGTCGTTTTTCTTCGGTCGAATAAAAGATCGGTCTGGCGACCGATAAAATACGCGGTACTTAATTTATCATTTGCATCATTTGTTGCGAAGTGTGAATATTATTACAAGAGGCGGTAAAATAATGTCAAACAGTCGCAACGTATTATCCCTTTCTCACGACGGATGAGATACTTTTATGGTATCGCGAAATATTGTGTATAATTTACGATCACGATATAAATTGGCACAATTTCGTCGCGTGAGAGCCACTGTGTGGCATGATCGGTGTTTACAATGTTTACACAGCCATCGCACATGTTGGTGTGCTATACAGTGTGTTCTGGCTATGATGTGCTGCGCCATTCCCCACCTCGTACACGAAATGCGCTCGTGTATATCTTTGTGTCGATCGACTACCGTGCACCTTCGATTATCCAACCCTGTCACGGTGAAAGCGAATCAAGTTTCGGGAAGAAATATTCTTCGATGTAAATCCGTTTTAAATCTCTCTCGTGGCGAGAAAATTCGAATATTCTTGGAATCGTGGATTTTGACTCTGGTCCAGGTTAAGCTGTACGATCCTATTTCATCGCATCGATCATCCATCTTCGATCCACGATTGACAATGCGTTACGCGTTATATGACGAGAAGAGGGTTAAGATTAAAATTTTATTACCGTGATGATTTTAATGAAGTAGGGCATTATTTCGAGGAGAGCAGACTATAAGCGCGATTATAAGCGGGAGACGTACGACAAGAATGTTCTGGTATGGATCGCGTAATTTCACAAGCCGGCGCGTATGATGAATCGTACGGTGAAATTAGTTAGGGGAAAACAGGGGAGGGTGTACCATTAAAATATTACGACACGAGCGAGCACGGTACACGTTATTTAACCCGTTTAGTCATTTTATATTCAGGCCAGCAATTCTGCCGCGCCTCTTTGAAACGTGCACTGAAGTTGCTAACGCGATTTATCCCTTAAAGATCCGCCGATTTCTTCTTCTTTCGTACGATGTACACGCCACCTCGAAATTTTAACGAATCCGTTTTACGTAACCTCGGATCGATAACACGGAGAATTTATCAACGAGCAATCCTCTCGACAATGCCCTTAAAAGCAAACATAACGGAACAAGAGCGTTCAATCTTTTTCTCCCGACATCCCGAATTTCTTCAAGGGGAGGGATCAATATTCCCCCTTTGGCAAGATACGCTTACGTGCGAGCAACGATATATAAGAAAATCGATCTAATTCGAGAGAACGGTTAAGGAAAGATTATAGGGGTCGAAGAGGCATTGACATTTTTCTCAGCCAAAAACTTCTGTCACAACTCGGGGAGAATAATGATTTTTCCCGTGCCAAGAAGATCGGGCCGAGATTTCGAGAGTTCCGAGGCCCGCGAACGCTTCGAATCGTCGAAAACTACGTGGCGCATCTCGAAATAAAGTCGTCGCGACAAAATAATCCATGTGTTTTGCGTCATTCAACTGGCAGTTGCTGCTACGTGCGTGCATGTGTACATATACTTTTCACGTAGCTTTTGTAGCCCCGATTGTGAATACACGGATCGTGAAATTGTCGTAGTTTTCTCGTTCTTCTCTGTTTCTACGCGCTTCGACACCATAACCATCATCGAGAACGATGCATTCGAATTAATCGAATTAACTCGCTTGATCACGGCTCGAGTTTCGTGTTTTCGAGCGAGTCACTCTCTCGTTCCTTCGTCGAGAAAAAGTATCTTTGCTCGACGAAACTTATCGAAATACCTTTGACCGGATGTAAAACACCTACGAGCACGAGTAAAGATAGTCATCCGTTGATCGGGTAAGGTGAAGGGTTTAAATTTGAATTTCTACGATATATACATGTGTCGGTATGCGTACGAAAGAGAGAGAGAGAGAGA